CTACGTATGAGACGTTATAGGTATGCTCGCAGGTTGCGATGCACATGGTCGAGCTGGTCGACCAGACTCCACGGCGGGTCCAACCGGTTAAACATCGCCTGCATACACGTAATGTAGTCGGCGGCAGTCTCGCGTTCCGCGCTTGGTCACGACGTAGGATCTCATTCCGAAGCGCACTCTGAAAATCCGGGTCGCCAAAGCGACTACGCCATGCGGTAACGAAATCCTCCCACGTTCGTAACTCGGCGCGTCGGTTTTCGAACCAATACGACGCGATGTTAGTCAAGAAAAACGGAATGCAACGGAATAACTCGGTGTCCGAGATCGGATATAGCTCACGACCCTCTCTAAGTTTCGTCAGGAAGGCTTCCGCGTCGCTACCGCGCGCACCGGAAAACGACACGTTCCATTTCCGCAGCGCGTTGCACATATCGTTTACGGCATGACGCGAAGGCGCGTGATCGATTCTGCGGGGTGTCGTCGGGGACTCCGTGCGCCGACACGCAGGAGCCTCCTCGTCGCTGCTCCGATTCTCGCCACCGCCCGTAAAACGGCTAGGGCTGTCCGGAGCCATTGGCGCGGATGTTGACGGGCGCAGAAAATTCGACGAGCTCTCTCCCGCATTCGCGGTTGCCGACGCTCCCAATCGCACGTTTAGCTCATGACGTAACAAGTGATCCTGTAACGCGATAATATCCCCGTCAACGTCTAGCCCTCTTCGCGATAACTCCTCTCTCAATGCCTCGGACGACAATTTATATATCCATCCGAATCTCGAGCCCTCCTCCGACATCGTGAACAAAAAAGAAAGAAATTAATACGGCAACGAGAACTGAGATCCGTAAGCGCGGCAACGCCGGGAACGCAAGTCGGTAATACAAAACAACAAGGAAAAAAAATAGCGCTCTCAAGGGCACGCAAGGCCGAGGACGCGCTCGTATTTTCTCCTACTAACGGGTCAGGAATTTGCTTGTTGTGAACGTCCCTACGGAATTGCTGAGTGACAACAGTATAAACTGCTCGCACGCAGTCAACGTGAACAAAATTTGAAACGACCGATACACGCGCCTACAGTCACTGAAACGGAATATAAACGGCAATAATTTTCGGGGCTTAATACATCGAACGCAAGCAGTAGAGCGTAAAAGAATGCGAAAACAACAACACGGCCGCTCGCCGTCTAACGAAGGGCGCACAGAGAAAGAGAAAGAAAACGGAAACGTTACGCAACTAAAATAATTTCTCCCCTGAGACGGCCAGCACTCGCGAAATTCTCGAAACCCTCAAAAGAAAAACGAATTTCCCCCGAAATTCCAGAGTCACACTAACAAAACTCAAATATCTCACGCGAATCGCGACATGCACAATTAACACTGCTGTAAAGAAAGGAGATTAGCAAAGATTCGCACACAATATCAAAAGCACATGCAACATAGAAAATAAGCACAGAAATAGAGACAGAGAAATATAAGATTCTCGCTCCCAAGACCGATAATACGGGGTGTAATAAAAGTCTCAATCTTTAATTTTTCTCAGGGCCCCACGTTGGGCGCCAAATTTGCGACCGCACTTACGAGCGTGGTGCAACTTCGTCGCTCGTCCGACCCGCTTGATTCCTCGAAAACGGTAAAACTGAATTTAACGCGCGATTAATCATTACTCAGGCATCTCGCCTATCGAAAACGGGAACAAGACTTCAAAATCTCGTTGTTCGGAAATCTAAGGACTCGCTAAGAAATTAGTCAATCACGCGATCAGATGCGAAATCGGTACGACGGTCGGACAAGGACGGCGATAACCGGCCTCTCAGATACGGTAATGGTAGAGGGGGTGATTCGAAGGAAAACGGTCAAGGTTCGGGGAGCGAGAATAGGCTGAAAGAAATAACAGTGATGATTAACAGTAAAAATGATAA